ATTCTACAATTCACGCAAGTAGTCATCTGAACTCGTTGTACTCGTTGTATTCAAGGTGTAAAATCTAACAAAAGAACGAGCCTTGGTTCGGCCAGGGTATCTACTTCGCCAATCAAGATGCAGTACGCTCAAAATATAATCATGACAATCTTCCCAACGCCATAAGATGAAACGTACTCCCTCATGCCTTCGTCACTCAAAAATGCTGCACACTGCCTCGTCCCCCTTCCCTTGTATAACCCAACCTCCCAGATGATTTGGGTCTAAAAGTTCAGTGTATTCGCCAATACTTTAAATGTTGCTATTACTGTTTTGTGGCAATGACTGCAGCCTCTACTCCTGCAACACTTCTGTCAAGGCTTCGCGATCAATAGTCTCGGCCGTGACTTGCGCTGGAGCTCCTTTACGCTTTTGTAAAGCCCAATATTGCTGGAATCCAGGTATTGCGCCGGGTTGGTTAATTCCAGGGGGTCGATGCGGTTCCTTGTCCTTCTCTGAGGCTTTGTTCTCGGGCTTTAACAAGGGGGATGAACCTGGACTAGGACTGCTACCGCCCCAAGGACGCCATCCTACCCATTTGCCCAACTTGCCTTGGGGTGTAGCTGGACTACTAGACAATCGTGCAGCATTTGGACTAGAAGTCGCCCTCGGAGTGTGAAATCCAGCAAAGTGGTCTCGTAATGTTGCGTCACTGCGCTTCGATGGCGTCCTTGAAAGTGTAGGTCGGGCAATAACGCCCGTTACGACGGCTTCAACACCACCAAGTGGCCGCAGTGTCATTTGGCTGGGTCTCGATTTCAAGGTATGAATGTCAAGGCCGCCTGATAGGGACATGATGGACTCGTGTGATGACACGCGATGCAACCGAGGGCGTGGCATCATTTCATCGGCACAGTAATCCGTATCTTCGGCAGGGGATGAGTCCTCTGTAGGCGTTGCTGTCTCCAACGTAAGTGATGGCGGCTTTGTCGGTATATTTAGTGGAGGAAGACTCGTCTCCTCCTCATCTTCTTCTTCAATAGTCTCTTTGGTATAGCGCGGATGATTTGCTGGGCCACAGGGAGGCGTGTCTGGTACAGAGTCCATCAGTGATATCGCAAGTGACTGGAAGCTGACTGTTGAGGAGACGGATGGTCTCTTGGAGTGGGCAGCTCGCCAGGTCGGGGACATGGGATCAAAACTAGTTGCTGGAGACGTGGGTGGGTCCGAATCAGTGAACGTAGAGTCAAAGACTCCGTTCTGCTGTATTTGTGGCGAGCTTGGTAGAGATGACGAGAATTCAGATGCTGCTCGAGAGTGGCCACCCCAGGCCCGCGCAGGTTTCGACATGGTAGGTGTTGTCTCGCCCGCAGGAACGCGGGAGAGCAGAGCGGGGGCAGTCGGAGAAGGCGTGAGGCCCCCCCAATTGCCCGAGTTTCGCGGTGATGATGGGGCCGACGCAGCTGGCGGTGTGAAAATGCCAGGAAGAAGTCCCTGTCGCTTCTTTTTAGGTTTCCGGGGTTCGTGCTTCGATGATACGTGGTAGTGGTGATGGAAATGCAGTTCCTGGGAAGCAGGAGGTGCTTCAAGTAAAGGTTCTAGCTCCGCCCGTAGTGTTGATGCTCTGCTCGAGTCAGGGGGCATCGGTTGATGGTGCATGAGTTGGTCCCGCAACGACTGGATCTCGTCATTTGAATTGATGAGCATTTCCCGCAACTCGGCCATTCCAAGCTGCAAGTTGGCATTGTCCTGTAACAGATCTCGGACGAAATGGCCCACAATCTTACCGCCATTCTTATGTTCCTGTAGAGATTTGGTAGCAGCGGCACCCTTAAGCCGCCCGGCAGCCGTGTCGAGCTGTTTCTCGATTTCTCGCTGTCGCTCCATTCTCTCAATGACTTCGGCATGACGTTCGCGTTCCTGGCGGGCTTCTTCTTCGATACGATCCAGCTGATCCTGCATATCCAGGATGCCGCGTTGCGCTTCCTTGAAGCGCTGAGCGTGAGATCTAGCATCCTCCTTGGAGCTGCGGAGTTCGCTGAGCAGTTTCTCTTGCTCGTCCTCTAGGAGTGCGAGATGGCGCTCAACATCAGCAGCACGGCCAGCGGAAGATTCGAGTAGGCGGACGGTTTGTTGCGAGGATAGGAGACTGGACTCGAGACTTTTGATCTTGACATCGGAATCGCTCAGGGTGTTATTGAGGGCTTCTAGTTGTTCAAGCAAGTCCCGGTTTTGGTTGATCCTGCTCTCGTTTTCGGCCTCAAGCCCGCGCTTGTCCATTTCCAGTCTCTCTATACGGGCATTAAGTTCGACTCGCTCTCGCTCGGCATCGGCCATGTAGGCTTCATGCCGTGCTAATAAAGCCTGGAGGGCAAATATCAGTGACGAAGTCATGGAATTGTCAAGACACAAAGAGCCATGCTGGCAAATGGAAAACAAAAAAAGAAAACACCCACGAGATATGGTGAGGCAGACAAGAAAGGAAATGAAAGAATGGTGAAACTATTGTTTGCAAAAGAGTGCTATAAGTGGCCAGGCGCGTTGTTTTTTTTTTTTTCTTGCTTGTTCAAGTCAAGAAGGGGGAAAGCCGGTTCATCATGGAACGCAAAAGAAGGATTGGAATGCTCCTAGTCGGCTAAGGCGAGACCGACCTCCACCTCCCGTCAGACGCGCAGCTCGCGTGTCTTGGGACGGGCAGGAAAGAAAGAAAAGCAAAAAAAGCTGGGGCAAGAAGTAGTTGGCAAGGTCGAGGGTAGCACAAGCCCTAGACGTACAAAGACGACGTACCTGGCCAAGCTGAGCAGCGATGTGGACATCTTTTTCGACGGATTCAAGGATTGAGCAGTTGCGTCGCAAGAGCATGCACTCGTCGCTCCCGCAGCAGCAGTGAAGGGCCGAAGATGCATCCCGACAACGCTCGCGCGAGCGGATGCCTAGGTCAGGAGTCGCGGCTCGAGATCGAGAAGCCATGATCTCTCGCATCAGCGACGCCGAGGCTGGGCGTCGTCGGATGAAGTCGACGGCAGAGAGAATGATGCGGTCGCGATCACCATGGTCCAGGGCCGAAAGGGAATCAGACCCGCAGTTGCAAGCGTCTGGACGCGGGTGGGCGTCAAAAAGGTCAAATGCGAGCGAGGGCCGCGCCGACAGGACGAAGCTGCTGGTGATACCGAGTCAAACAGTCGGTCTCGAATGGTTTTTGCGTGTCGAAGTGTCAAGTGGGTTATGAGGAATGGAGCGGAAATGAGCACGGTAATGCAGCGGAGGAAAAAAAAGGACAAGAAAGCCAAAGAAAAAAGCACCAAGATAGGAGATATGGCAAAGCGCTCCTGGCGGCCAAAGATATGCAATAATATTAGGTGAAGTGGATGAGAGGTTGGACGCGGACTCTAGGACGCATCTCGGACATTTAGAGTCACGAGCTTGAGTGGAGTGAAGGTTGGGCGCCAAGTGGATAATCTGGACTCGGACTAGACATCAAGACATATGCAGGGTGGGGTTCGAACATGTTGGCATTGAACCGTGGGACATGAAGGTGATTAAACGACCCAAGATTCGAGATTCAACAACAATCGAACTGTCAAAAGTGCCATGCGACAAGATCCAGGCAGAGTAGAACAGCACACGAACTGCATGGCCATGGCCAACCAGCCTGGTCCATTTTGCGGTCTTCCTCTTCCTCTTCGTCCCAACCCCCAAGTCACCACCACCTCACGCCGCCACATTGTTTTTTACTTCGCGCCTCGTCCCGTCACGCATGCCGCTTGTCTCGTTTTAAACCTTCCCAACCGGCCGTGTGGAACAAACGCGAACGAGCTGCGGGTCTTGTTCCCATTCGAGATGTCCAGATGTCCACCCAAGTGGGTAAAAATGGATAAATCCCAACCGGGCCAAGTCCAAGCAATATTAACAGACATATTTGGACTTGTTATTAGGAGTTCGGAGCATCCTCACCAACGTCTGCGCGTCGCTCAAGACGCGGCCACCATGTGATGCGTCACTATAGCCATGATGAACGGAAAACGGTCTGGCAAGCTACAACGTGCCCATTCGCGGGGTTTGAGTAACACGGAATGGGTTTCACCGATTGTATTGCATAAAGAAACGGGGTAACGAAGTACCTAGGCTCTTAGTTGGCAATGAGAGCACGTCATGCGCTTCACTCTCTTGCCGGCTTGTTTCTTCGTCCATCCTGACAACAACCACAACCCTGGTGGGGAGAGCAGCCCACGTTCGGTGCCACCAACCACAGCGCACCATCACTTTGCTGCAAAATGACAATGTTGAATCGTTCATTCGTCTATCCGCTTCATGAACCAAGCAGTTGGAGCTCCTGTTCTGTGCGTGCTTGCCAACCAAGCGCCCCCCGGCCCTCGCTCCGCCACACCCTTCTATATTGCCTCAACGATGTGTGAGAAACCGCGGGAACCAACTGTATCGTCGCGTGCCAAATAGAATATGTGGTTGAAGCCATTAGCCGTTACAACAGCTATCTGATTGTCGCCAATTGGCGGGCTGTCTCGTACTATCTGGGAGGAACCCCATTGTCCGTTGCTCTTGGTCACTCGTCGCACATTATCCAACGTGTCAGCGTAATACAAGTAAGTTGTGCCCTGGTAGTTCGTCACGGCAATAGACGTGCCGGCCTTTGCATCGGTCGTGCTGACAATGTTATGGGCTTCCAGGAAAGATGGTTACTATGAAGCCGAGCAGACAGTGTACATCGACCAGCACGAGAACTTACTAGCCCGGTCTATCACACTAAACTCTTTCAGACGCCCATTCTTCACTTCCTGATAGACAACAGAGCGATCGTCACTTGCCGGCTCATACCAAGCGCCGAGCGAGCTATTGAGCGCAACGTCTGCGCCGTCCATATAAGACGTAACGTTGCCTGTTGAAAAGTTGAATTCCGTCAACCTCACTTGATCCTTGGTACCACTATGAAGTTGAGATTGACAAAAGTTAGCATTCATCCAGGGGATTCCGCTGCGCTGGGCAGGACTCTTGACGTGCTGTACTCACTCTAAAAAGTATATCCAGGCGGATGTGTCAGAGTTGGAGACTGCTATCTTCTTGTTTTCTAACGTATTGGAAGCAAGCCCCTGGTATACAGGGGAAACGATGGAGATCTGGTTAGTGGTTGGGCGACCTTCGGCTCTCGGCACGGTGGCCGCAACAACAACGCGGAAACCACGAAACGAACCCGAGGCTAACTGTGACTGCTGTGCGATAACGCCTCCGTAATCACTCTCACTGGGCCCGAAAGCTTTCACGTCTGGATCGGGGCCATCAGTGCCGTTCTTCAGGGCAACGGAAAGCTGTGCCGTGGAGGTGCTGGAGAAGAGGCTAATGCTCGTTTCATCCGGCATGGCCGGATCGAATATGGCAGAGACAGCTGTCATGATGGCTTTGGGCTTGAATACAAATGTGAAACGACACTAGAAGATGGCGTTCAGGCAAAATGATATGTGCTGCTGTATGGGGATGACAAGACATCATGGGCTGATGGGTAACCCATGGGCTTATATATTCATCGACAACTTACTTTATTTCACGGAACATGGCTGATCTAATGGATAGTTTAGTTTTACCCCATAGGCCAGAAGAATGCCGAGACTCTGCAAGGTGTGGTCCTGCATCGGTCAGCGGTGTTCCCGGTGCCGGTGATGCAGCTTTCAGCCGCTTGCTAGCACCCGGCGAGCTATTTGGCTTGCAAGGTAATTACGTCATGTCCCACCTTGTCAGGCATCTACATTCAAATGTGTTTTATATATTGGCGGCGAAAGACTCATCGGACGCATCTTTCGCGGTATGTTTACTAATGGCCTCCCGATTAAGCAAGTTGCTTCACAACAGCTTGGGATGCTACTCATCGGGGACAGTTGACCCGTCTCGCCCACCGAGACGTGCGTCACAAGTGACCAAAAATTCCTTTTGTTCATTGCCTTTCCCAATTTCAAATTGTCTAGCCCATGTAGGTTGGACATCGTTTCGCTTATTATCACCAGCCAAGTCTGACATTGGTGTTTTTGTAATTGACTATTATCCAACCGGCATCGTGGTTGTAACTGCATGCTGCATACCATGTAGGAGCACACAAGTAGCGAAGCCTCTCTATAAAGCGGTCAAGAGTGAATTGGAGCTCTGATGACGCTGGATTGGCTGAACCCGCTGCGATGAAACGTCGGTGAGGATGTGTCACTCTCTGAAAAAGTATGGGTGCGACGACGGTTTCGATGTCTGAGGCGGCTCTCTATGATTTGCCCTAGGATTAGTATAGGACTACTCCTAAAAAGAGAAAAAGAAAAGAAAGATGAAGAGCTCGTTTTATGGGCAATGTGTATGTGTCTACGGGACAGTCACTGAAAAGGGACAAAATTCCTCCCAGCAGCAGAAACAGAGATCAGTAACGGCTATGTTTGGGAATTTGCCGAGGCTGAAGGTATTTCTGACATGTTAAGGCGATTTGCAATATCAGGCGGCTCTTATAAAGAGCCTTTTGTGGCGGCGTTGCAGTAGAGAGCAAACACGACGAGCAGCCTCTACTTACGAAAGTCGCTCACTGCCTACTGTTTACAAAGCCACGCATAATGGTCAGAATATTATTCGGGCACGAAAGTACGACCTAGGACAATATACGATTGACAGGTAGGTACAGTGTCTTGCAGCCTTTGTCGATTTTACTCACATGAGTAATACTCGCACCCCCGCCTCTTAACATCTACAGTTGTTTCCTGAAAGTCGTAGCTATAGGGCAGTTCATGGTTCTACGAATTCCCGTGCATGCATTGTGGCTGGCTGAGTGTTCATCTTCCTTTTTAATTTGATGCAAGTACACTAGGCGTAGTTTGTGGTATTTGCATGCAAAATGCCATAGAGAACTACATCATGTACCATCCTCATTCATTTGCTTGCTCAAAATGTGGTGGAACATGGCCGTTGGCGTTGTGCATGCAGGCCCAACAGGTCCTGGCTTAATGATTGAGTGCAGAAGAGCAGCTCCTATTCAACATGCTTTAGGTGCTCAATAAACGGGGGTAACAGGGCCTGAATCATACTTTTTTATTGGAAAATATGCATTGATCAATTTTATAACCATTACGTAGAGGTGTCAATATGGTAGGATTTGAATTAAACATCAACACCGTCAGAAAGAAGGTGTACAAGTGATGCCAGCGCAAAGAGATGCCCCAAAATCCATGCTATAAAATTATTACTCATTTTTGGATGCAGCAAGTTTTGACACGTACCAAGAGAGGTTGTCACATTGCATGCATATCGTCATGACCAAGATTTTGAGATTAGTGTTGCACACATCACGGCACATACTACCCCAAGGTGACAAGTACTTGCGGCTATCGAGTATCTCATTGTGACTGGGATTCTACTTAACATTGTATGGGATAGTAAAAGAGCCCCTAGCTTTCAGGTAAAGCAATATAAAGACATTCTCTCCTTTAAATCAGTGGCATTAGTGTATTTTCAAGTTTTCTATATTGACATGCTCTGCGTTCTAGACTACGCCTGTATGCAAGTCTTGGCTAAATACTCGAGTGAATCAGCATTATAGAGGCGTAGGATATCGACTAGCGGACTAGAGCAAGTACCATCTGGCATCAAGCTTTTGAATAGTTTAAAAATCCCTACAGATGCATGACTAGAGCCTTCGCATGACTGGGTGGACAATACATGCTGGTTTACGAAATTACGTGTCGAAAGTGAATTAAATTTCATGACCAACGAGGACAATTGAATGGGGAAGATATGAGATGGCCCAGTTTGAAAGCAAAAGTCATAACAATCTATGCCGAATTGCGTTGAAGTTGCCGTCAGGATGTCTGGTGTGTTCAATTCATTTCGCTTGAGGTCGGCTCTCGCAACCACAAGCTGGCGAGATTGATGTTACTGTGGTCCCTTGGCTGTATATAATATAAGTAGGCAATGCAAATACTAATGAATAACTAGCTGTTCATTGCCGGGATAAGACCACATGCAGACTAGTTGACTGCAGCCATGGCGTCTGTTGGATGGATAATCCATATCGCACTTGCCCTCAAATGACATCACTGAACGGTAGCCCCTTCCCCGCCAAGTCGCCATCCCGGACATCTGGACCACACACATTGCGTAGCCAGTCAGCATCACGCCATTGTCATCACATCGTGAATGAGGGTCCCTGCGCTCCGCCCGCATCTGCTTTTGAAACTCGATGACGAAGCTCAAGATGCACCAATGGCGCCGCACACCGTCATGGCCCGACTTGGAGCTGTTTACCGGAATCGAATCTGGAAGTGTAAAGCGCCCGCTTAAGCCGCTCTCGCCCCGATGCCTCCTCCCTTAAGTTACATGTCCGTCACCTCCCGTCCCGCCCGAGTTTTGATCGCAGAATTATCTCCCCTTTCCCGCTAGATTGATACTTGCATTTGACTTACCTCCATTTCCATCGTCGATTGCTTGAACCGGTCGTTATAGCACACCGTCACGCTTCCTCACTCTCCCCACCAACTCAAACGCATCTCTAGACGCCCTCGTACATGTTACGCAGCAACCCCCGCATCGTCTCTCTTCTCTGTTCTAGTCGCGCCCTTCTCAACATCCCACACATCCCATCACTACATTTCTCGACCTTCCATAGAGTCATGGCGCAGGAATTCAGGCTCAAGGACTTGACCTCTCTCTCCTTATCGCCCGGCTCCAAGCAGGAGGTCGAGGTCGAGGGCGTGGATGGCGGCAAGGTCTTGCTAGTCAATACTGGAGGCCAGATTCGAGCGATTGGTGCCAAATGTACGCACTACGGGGCGCCCCTTGCCAAAGGCGTCCTTGCTGCTGATGGCCGAGTCAAATGCCCATGGCATGGCGGTAGGTAAACCTTCTTCTGATCAAATTGACACCGCTTGGTATCTCGTGTATTGATCGCATCTGTCATCCGTTGTACGGAGTAGCCTGCTTCAACACAAGCACTGGTGACGTCGAAGAAGCTCCGGCCCTCGACGCCCTGCCTGTTTTCAAAGTCATTGAGCGCAATGGCGCCGTCTATGTCATTGGCGACGAATCCGCAATCAAAAATTCCCGAAGGCAGCCCAACCTTAGCTGCGCCGGTCCTCCTACTGCAGACGAAAAGGTAGTCATCGTTGGCGGGGGGTCTGGTGCACTAGGCGCTGTCGAGGGCTTGCGCGAAAAGGGCTTCACTGGTGGCATCACCGTCATCTCAAACGAGGGCTATTATCCCATCGATCGACCCAAACTGAGCAAGGCCCTCATGACTGACCTTTCCAAGCTGCAATGGAGAGATAAAAGCTGGTTCGAGAGCGGCAACGTCGAGTGGGTGGAAGGTGAAGCTACTGCCGTCAACTTTGGAGAGCGCAAGGTTACCACCAAGAATGGCCAAAATATTTCCTACACGAAATTGATCCTTGCCACTGGAGGAATCCCTCGAACATTACCCCTCAATGGATTCCGCGTGCTGGGAAACATTTTTACATTGCGAAATGTACATGATGTCAAAGCCATTGTCGGTGCTATTGGCGACAAGGGCAAGAAGGTTGTCATTGTTGGTGCATCCTTCATCGGCATGGAAGTCGCCAATGCCATCTGCAAGGATAACACTGTCACAGTCGCAGACATGTCCAAGGTTCCCTTGGAGCGTGTCCTCGGCGAAAAAGTTGGTGCCGGTATACAAAAGGCGGTAGAATCCAAGGGTGTCAAGTTCCACTTGGGAGGCGGCATCGAGAGGGCAGAACCATCCCCGTCGAATCCGTCTAAAGTTGGTGCCGTCATTCTTCAAGACGGCACGAAACTGGAAGCCGACCTCGTTATCCTGGGAGTCGGCGTTATGCCTGCCACAGACTATTTGCGAGACAACCCTGTCCTACGCCTCGAGAAGGATGGATCAGTCCAGACGGATGAGAATTTCCAGGTCTCTGGCCTCAAGGATGTCTACGCAATTGGAGATATTGCCACGCACCCATATTCAGGACCCGGGGGCGAGGGCAAGCTGGTTCGCATTGAACACTGGAATGTCGCCCAGAACTCAGGCCGCCACGTCGCCAACCATATTGTGAACCCAACTCAGAACCGACCCCTGAATATTCCCATTTTCTGGTCCGCACTGGGTGCTCAGATGCGATATTGCGGAAACACCGCCAATGGATGGGACGACGTGGTTGTCGATGGCGATCCGGCTGAGGCCAAGTTTGTTGCCTATTACACCAAGGGCGAGACGGTCGTGGCCATGGCTAGTATGGGGAGGGATCCGCTCATGTCGCAGAGCGCTGAGTTGATGAGGTTGAACAAGATGCCATCCAAGAAGCACATTCAAGATGGCGTGGATGTCCTGTCTATTGCAGCTTGATGGGTGGAAGGGTAATTTGTTATGACTGTACACATGTGTCTAGTGCAGATGATTAGTTAATTCATGGATTGGGCTTTGTTTCTGATCTAGGAACATGTGAGAGACCTCTCGTTGAAGATTGTGCTACTCCTCAGACATGGTCGGGTTCGTAATGCCTGTTTGTGTCCTTTTCGCACCATTCTCACCCGTGTCTCTCGAATAGGCATGGGCTCTGACCCAACCCATAAACTGGAATTACCTGCTGGTATGCGCTCACAACACAGTCTACATCCCATGTTGCTCTCACGCGCTTCCTCTGTTTCCCGACAACACCACATGTATCTTGCTCCCAAAAGCAGTTCGCCCAACTTCTTCAAAATTCCGCCGATGTAGAGAAGCAAAACTCCTCAGCGCCCTATACTGTAACGACTCAGATCCTGCAAATGCGTCAGCAAGCCAAATTCCTCAAGAAAACCCCAGTCCAGACCATCCAGTTGACCTGTAGAACCATCGTCTGCGTGGCCATCCACGAACTCCGCCTCGCAGCTAGGGCTGTCGAGTATCCTGAACAGCTTGCCTAGCAACTTGTTGACCGTAGTCGCTTCCTTGGAGTATGCACTGTGCAGACTCCATGTACGCTGGGCGCGCCTGAGAACACCCTCCATCTCATGCATTTCTGCCTTCTCGTCATCATCTAAATAGTTGGTCGGGGCGCTATTAGTAATTCCGTACACGTGCGTGAAGAGCACAAGCGTGGCCATCAGAAACTCGTGGTTGTAAGCGGCCGAGAAGCGCAACCCCAATGGCGCGAGACGGCCGCCAGGACGCACCTCCTTCTCCACCTCGTGCTGTATTTCCAGCATCTTCAACGCGGCGGTTGTGCAGATTCGGTAAGAGCTCTTGGTTTCCTCGGTTGCGGTGGTTGCCATTGTAGCCCCTGCGCTCGACACTGTTCTGATGTTTATCAGCCTGACGTGGTGCCAGTTGAGAACTATCAGACCCTTGTAAAACAGAACCATGAGGATGATGCGATGAATATCGTGGGATGCTGTATCGCTGAGGCTGTCCGATAGCGAGGTATATCTCAGAACTGGTGGGATGGAGTCATATACGTCGTAGAGTTGTTCCAGTAGCCTCCTTTCCTCTGCGTGGGTTGTCTTGGATGCGCTCATGCTGGCGTCGGCTATGGCACCTAGGACGACAAAGAACCTGTTTCTGGCAATCATGTGCAGCATGGTGGTCTGCTCTGTTTCCGGCCTCGACGGCGGAAGGACTGTGCTATCCTCCTGCAAATCATGGTCAAAGAGGCTCCGTGGAGGCGTGGTGTCCCAGTGATTATCGTTGATCATTCGGAGCAGCCCAAACTGTAGCGCGGTCGTGATGTCTATGCCGTGGACCATGACCATACTCGCCTCCGCATCTCCCCCTGAAAAGGTGTGATGCCTGGGAAGTGCGAAGGGTCGCGGTGGTAGCCCATGCGCTGGGCTAGGCGGAGGATGATTCCCATCAGAAGCCAAGTTTCCGCTTGCGTGTCTCCGGCCCTCATGCGCTCCAGGACGAAGTAGTGTAGGAGTGCTTCGATGGCATACGGTGCCCCGTGACTGTAGTTGCCGAGGACGAGACACTGGACGATTTGCTCGAGAAACGGCAGAGGTAGCGAGGGGTCCTGTACTTGGTCTAGACTGCCTGCCTGGGATTGAGCGGCGAAGCTCATGATTCCGTACAGAAGCGCGATCCATGTCAAGGGGGCTTGCGACGGATCATCCCAGAAACGTTGATACTACGGTGTCTGTCAGCATCGAGGGAAATGGAGCAAAGGGCATCTATGTAGGCAGACGAAGGATGGAACGAACTTGTTGCAGGAAACTCGGCGAGTGAACGCACACTACCTCCAAGAACTGATTAGTGGAACTCAAGATGCGGGCATGACATGGCGATGGGCTGGAGTATATGATGCTCACCTCGGGGCAAATCTTCCATGTTGAAATATGTGTCAACTAAGCGGTTAGCCACCGCACGCTCCGGAAACCTGGATAGTATTTCCGATCTCGATGTTAACAAATGGGATCCATGTAGCAACAGCGCACCTGCTACAGGTTGCTGCGGTGCTAGACCGGAGGTTTGTGCGATTTCATCTTTTCTGTGTGGACGGAGAGCGGGCACAGCGCAGGCATCATCTGGACGCAAGCGTTGCTCCGATTCTGGAAAGTCGGCTACGCGCGTTGTCCAATGCCGACTATCCACGTATATTGTCGTTTCCGAGCCAAGCTGCATAGTACCAGGTGGAGGCTCCTCCGACACGTTCGAAAGAGGAGATTCAATGCTTGGATGCGAGCCGTTGCTGCAGCTTAAATGCCCTGTATCAAAACTATCGTGTGTCTGGTCTGTCTGGGCTTCGAACACCGCCTGATATTGCGTAGGAGGGGTAGAAGCAGGGACAGGACATGGCGAGAAGTGATGAGGATGCGGAATGTAGCTGTCGGGATAGACGCAGGACGATGATATCCCGCGGATGGAACAGGCCATGCACGGGACATTACCGCTGCATACCAGTCTATTGTATCAAACTAGGAAATGTATATCGTCGCTCATGAAGAGGATTGCACACTTTCTACGCAGACAAAGATCGCAGCAGCGTCCGGTACCATGCACCGGATCATGTGCAGACTTCGAGTGTTGGGCCATCATGGCGAGACGGATTTCTCGTTGTTAAGCGTCGTCCGGTGTTTTTAACATACAAAGTTGGTTGCTAGTGATAGAATTCGACTCGTTTGTTCGGCCGTTTGTTGAACCAACTCGTTGCCCTCCTTCAGCTGAGCAGCTCGTCTCACCTGTAAGACTGGCCGCGGGAGCTGTGTCACGGATGCGACGTTGGCTTCCGGGCCCGGGAAGTAATACGAATGGACGAGTCCTTCGTCTTGCTTCTCAAGCATGTGTAAGCTCGTAGGATGGGCTTCTTTGACAGGTCACAACAGGCGACAGGGCCAGTAACATCCGCCCGACCTATGCTGGCTGTGAGCTGAAATGGTATCGCAGTTTTCGAGTAGCTAAGCTTACCAATCTGGATTAACCAATTCAGGACCATGGGCATGTGTTGCGGCTGTGAAAGCCGTTCCGTAGCATTTCAAGCCATCTGATAGACAAGCGTTTCATGACACCACACATAACGTTGCCCATGACATTGATCTTCACCTTGGAAGAAAAAGTCCTGCGGGAATCGTTCGACCTAGTCGGACTAATTGGCTTCTGAAGTATATGCACCGCTCATTTCAGTGTCCTTGATTGAACCCATGAGTTCCGAGCTCAAGGGGTATGTCGTACACATTGTGTACAGACAATTATTGGCGCATACTATATTCTCTTAGTAGCTTTAAGTAAAGTCCCCCCTACTTTTAATCCCATGCTATATACTATCCATAACCCATACACATCGTTCAGCATCGTTGGCAAGCCGTATGAGGACAATACCCATGATTGCAAGAGAAGCTACAAAGGCCCTTGTATCCGTCCCCCTCTCCAGGAAGCGGGCAGCCGTTATAGCCAGTCTCGGGAGGGGGAGAAATCTGACTTCCGTACGAAGTGCATTTACACGGGCCAGGTGGACAGTATCCGTAGTGGCATGAGAAGCTGCAAAGGCCGGAATAGTTGCCGCTTTCGCCGTCGGCGTTTGTGCCGCCGGTGCAAACTTCTGAAACTGCATGTTAGCCAAACAGCCCTTTCAACGGAGCTAGTATTTTGGGGGAGAACTCACGATCTCCTCCAGGCGGGCTGGTGACAGGAGGCTTGGTTGAACTGGTAGTAGTGGGAGGAGGCTGACCTCCTGGTGAAGTGGTTGTCGTTGTTGTTTCGCCACCAGGGGGGTTGGTAATTGGAGGATTGGTTCCCAGAGACGGCTTGGCTTCACAAGTACTGACATGCAGACCAATGGTCAATGATGCCAGGCCCTGCGGATGCAGGGGATCGTTGAAGCCGGACGGCAGAGTGCCCACGTAGGCGTTGAAGTTGTAGATGCCGCAGGGACAAACATTAGATATGTCCATCAATGAGGTGCCAGAGAGCACAGTGTTTCCACCGCGAGTCAGAGAAAACTTCTGCTGGCCGACACCAGCAGGGACAGTGAATATGTGAGCACCAGAAGGCGCGTTTTTGGTCTTGGACTGACCGCCAGACTGAACGGTAATGGTTCCTGGTTGGGTGAGGAAAGATACGACATAGACGACATCATCCATGGTCTGCCAGCCGTCGGGCCGGCCCATGAAGTAGTTGCCGCTGTTGTTGTTTGCAGGACGTCCGGCAGTGGTATCGGTGGAATCACAGTCGAGCGTGCGGAGAGTGCGGCGGTACCAGTAGATGATCTTGTCTTCTCGAATGTAGTTGTTAATAGAGGTGGCGCCGGCTTTGTACGCGGCAATAAAGGGCTTGGAGAGATCCAACCAGCCGTTATGAGGCCTAGGATGCAGCTGCGTTAGCTATCAATATTTTTGGGGTCGGCGCATCTATCACTGACATATCATTCACCCATTTTGAATTACCATTATCATAGTGAGGGGAATTGAGAGGGCCGACATAGTGAGATTCCCCGTAGTCATTCCAGGTGACAATCTCAAGCATAGGGAACCCTTTCTGAAGCACCTGGTTCCAACGGTCAAAGATCAGAGAACCTCCCGGAAAGACCCAATTTTTGCTGTAAGAAACCTCGGGACCGAAGTGGGTGAAGAACCAGGGAGACACGGGAGCCATATACTTCTTTGTCCCAAGCCACCGTTGATACGAGTTGTCTCCATCAGCAACAGTGGCAGTGTGGCCGTTGGAGGGAGCCTTGTTGTTTCCGTTGCTATCCCAACCCTGCGATGCGAATGTTAGCAAAGCACATGGCATATAAGGGCAGGACTGACCATCCAATTCAGAGCACCATCAATTTTATCGGGAGAAGACTCTCCAGGGTGGAAGTTTGGAACAAAGTACACATTAGAACCGGCAGCAGACCTCATGGCATCAACATCTAACCCATCACCAGCAAAGGAAGAGGCAAAGACACGTCCATCAACTACAAGCTGCGCAGGCTTACTGGCGTACTGGGCAATCTTTCGGCCAACACCACTAGCATCGCCAGGACTCCACCAGTTAAAGTCGAAGGAGATAAATACCTTCATGCCGTTCTTCGCGGCGGAGTCGTATGCGTATCCGAGCTGCTGGTCTGTGTATCCATCCACGCCAATGTTCAGGGCAAAGGCATCAATACCTGCGTCTTTGGCGCGGCTCATGTCATCGTCATAGTCTGATGCACTGCTTCGGTCCCCAACAATGCCAATCTAGAGATATAGGTTTAGTATGTACTGCTATGGCATTGGAAATTGGCAACTGACCATGAAGTGGCAAAATACGAGGCGATCGCCAGCTGCAGCTCGAACCTCTAGAGGAGATGTCTCCGGCATTGGAGAAGCCTTGGTCACAGACAAGAAAGCCGTTGTGGCAAGCCATCCCACGCCGAGATGGCGGAGAACGTTGGACACGGAGAACATGGCAGGTCTTCCTGTCAATTGGAAACTGGTCGACTAAAAACCGTTGACTTGTTTATCCCAGGGTGTTCAATCGAACCCCTCTGGATCACTACTCCTTTAAATAGTAATGCAAACCGAGAGGCAAGCATCCCCATGTGGGACGGATACGACATGTGCTTGTGCGGGCCATTGTTGCAGTATCTCCGTATTTGGCGAGCGTCAATAGCTCTGATGACTAGTTAGTTGCACCGTCAATGTGAACCGGGTGATTTTTGCGAAAGTTGAGAATCCTTTCGTCAACCATCGGACCAATGTGAACATGCTATTGAGCCACCTCGTCACCACAACCTGCATGAAGTGAGGTGACATCGAGAGCGAGAAGCCGGTCGACGCTAACCAGGAACGAAACTTTGGTCAGCCGCCGGGACCTGGATGGCGCACATGGATACCAATGAGGAGAGTTTCTAGTCGAATCAAGAAAATTATTGCACGAGTAAGGTGAGAGCATTCCTGCTAATCAACAAGGGTCCCTTCTTGTGGTGTTTACTCGAGCATTCCTACCAAATTGTGCTAGAGAGTTCCTTGAGTGACGTGAATTAATTAATTGGGTTCTGTGTCTTGGTAAAAGATGTCGTTTGCGAAAATTCAAACTAGCTAACCAAAATGGAGCGTTTTATTTGGCTGTGACAAGGGCTCAAGGAGGGCTCGGAGCTAATAGCTCAATTCATCTAATAACAGTCTTTGGTATCAAAGGTCCTTGGTTTTCCAAGTCCTTGAGGGACCAAAGGTGTCTATAAATACAAGAAGTCGGTGAGGGACTTTGCCCTAGGTCTCGTGACCGTAGCCCTTGTGTAACCATCCATTTCCGTGTAACATTGGCTGATGAAGTTCCATATCAGTTTTGATCAAAACTATTGCCAGTTTCGTAAACTCTCGCACCTGCAATATCAAGTCAGGAACTTAATTCCCAATATAGCTTTCTTCTTTGTTCTCTTCCATGAACATGCCTTAACTCACGTCTCCAAAAGCCAGGACCAGATTCTTCCCGGCTCAACATGGCGCTGGCATTACGACACTGTCCATTCGTGGGGTCAAGCAATTGGACTTTTCAGACCTGGAGAACGGGCCGAGGACATGCATATTGCAATCCTTTCGCTACAATTACTCGGGAAAATTCTGTTGCCGGGGTCGGCGAGACTTCTACGCTTGTTGTCTATAGACACATCTCTCACATTGCAGAACGGCAGGTGGAAGGGGAGTTTTAGGTAGCGATAACTTGAAAAAAAGAGTACTCAACCCCATGATCGATCAGATGCGTGTGATAAGTGATTAAAATAGGACGTCAACAGTGCAAGATATATCTGGCTGCAAGGGGTCGGGTCTTTCCTTGTGCATGACCGTTACGTCTTTATGAAGCCGAAGACAAAGAACAGAGCAATATGCTGGAGATCATTTGAAAGTATTGACATTAAAGGAAGGAAGTAGACGCCCCATATGTTTGTGCATGGAGGACTGTATCTTGTAGAACTTGCGACCGGTCTAGGGATAAAGCTGCCAACAGTAGGTCAAATTACACATAATATCTGATGAGATACAGAATATTAACGACTTTCTGTATGCATAATAGTAGATAAGAAGTATATTGAACATTATTTGAAGATTTAGAAAATATTTCTTTAAGCCTGTTTGGGACGAAATTGAGGTTATGCGGCGAGCCGAACTCAATATGTGGAGGTGAAGAGAGCCGATAGGGGACACTTGGGCACAGGCTTGTCGGTGTATTTCGGTATCACTGCTAGTTTTATGTTTAGGAATTACATTAAATATGACCAAGAGAGTAGAATTTATCGGTTCAGCTACAATATTACATCACTTTATTCCATCACTATCCGGAGCAAATGCGGTGACTTAGGCGTAGCATGAATCAATATGATAGCCCTTTTGGCCGGATACCATACCTTGAGGTGATGTGTACCTGGGGTAGGTTAATAACATTCCATTCTATGTGACTCTATTTTCATGCATGAACAAGGAAGAGACACACCGTGCAGCCTCGGGAAACCAGCACGACGACCATCTCCACATCTGAACCGAGACAACCAGACTCTTCTCCGCAAACAAGTCACATCCTGTCAACCCTTCCCCTCCTTTTCACCCCGCTTTCCGGCAAATCCAAACCAAACTTCCTACCATTCAGGGGCGGTGCTTTTTTTTGAAGATTTGCTATGTGATGCCCAGGATCTACTACAATCCCACGGCTGAACGTGTCTCGTTTCAAAGCATAGTAAGTCAGCAGAGACAAGCACTGAAGAACTTATCTTCTGTACTCGAAGCAAGCGGAAGCAAAATTTAGAATGTTGCGAAAATTCAATATTTATATTACAGCCATGAAATTTCTCTTGGTAAATATCTCTGACGCGAACATCCAAATTGCAGATTACCGAGGTAAAATATCATGTCCCTTTTGGGCAGAAGGCAATGTATTTGATAGGCTTAATTCGACACTTGCAATGTATCAGGCTGTAGTCGAACTCGACCTGCCCGTTAAACTGTCTCATTAACCTGTATTTTACGACTATAGAACTGGTGAAGGAATTCAAGAACAGCTGGGTGGCCTATGAGACTGAAGAATTCCTATCGACACAAGTCTCCCTATACGTGTACATGGAGCACGTACGAGGCAACGGAGACATTTCAATACATGTCCAGCACCTTTCCTTAGGCTGAAATTCTCAAGTTACCTGAAGATTGAGGTCTACGCAACGAGACGTGAGAAACCTAAAGCTGGGTCTCGATTTGTTCCATCAGACTTGTGGGGTTCTTTTCAGGAGCTATGATATCAAACCTTGTTGGCATTTCACAGTCTCTTTACATGTGCTATTACAGATCTCTTTTGTCTCCGGAGAGTTCGCATCAATATGGCACTCATTCTAGCGCCATCGCGCTTCTTGTCAGCCGCAGCATCAACTCGACTGCGTTGCATGCTGTGAGCAGCATGGGAGTGGCTTAATAACGCGCTGACGGGAACGTGGAGTCGATACTTGTCTGGCCCGTCAGTCAGGTGTTGTAATATAATGGCCCTCCTTCTCGAGCCGGAAGTTCTCTTGTTCGGTATCCTAATCAATGCCGACATGTGGGCTGCGGATGGGACGAAGTCAAGCGCCTTTCGGAGAGCCCGCGACAATTCACTCGTCACCGAAGCAGTGGAACTCATCTTCGAAGGTGGCAGCATAAAGGACTCAGAAAAATCATGATTGAATTGTTCAGTAGCACCAGCCAAGAAAAATCAGTTCTCGGGCATCCAAGAGAGGAGGTGAAATGGAAGTTGATGGAGGAGCTTCCTCCCTGACTGGGAGACTAGGGCATACGGGATCCTTGCTATGTCAAGCCTAATCTGCCGGAAATTAGTTCTGAATTCGCAGCGATATTGAGCCTCATACGAAGAACTCAGGCTGGACGGGCAACACATTGTAGACTGCAGCGATGAATGCAACACACTGGCGGAATCAAGTTTCGGTCGCCATACACCCATTATCCAGATGAAGGAACACCGATGGAAACGTCGGCGACTGCTTTTGATAAGCAGTATCTTGCAGAAAAAGTGAGAAAATCCCGGGATAGCCTGTAGCCTGAAACGTCTTTTGTTTCGCTACGTATCACATTTACACGTGAGAACTGTATTGAGTTATAGGCCTACAGTAGGGTGTAAAAACGGGTACCCGTGGGCACCCGTAGGTATTTAAGTTTTTCTTTAATTATTAAAATTTAAAGAGTTAATTAAAAAGCTAATAAAATTAATTATTACTTTCTTTTCTTTTCTTTCTTTTATTTCTTTTCTTTCTTTTCTTTCTTTTCTTTCTTTTCTTTATTCTTAACGTTTTTTTACGCTTAATTATTATCTTTTTATCTTTTTTTACACGTATAAATTTAAGTATTTTTTCTCTTTTAATATTCTTTAATTTTTCTTTTTATTTTTCTTTTTTATTTAATAATAAACGTTTTATATAAGCTATATTTTTAAATTCTTTACCTTATTATGAATTATTATAATTACTTATAAGATAATTAAAATAATCCCGTCTTATTAGATTATTTATATAATTTAATAAACTATTACGTGACTTAATATTCTTATTAGTTAGTAGCTATACCTACCCTTACTAGTGCGGCCTAGCTTCCCGCGTCTCGTGTAGTGATATTCGTAATACTTTATCTTTACTACTATTAAGCTCTAGCTTATAACGCGAATTTAGGCCTTAAAGTTCTAGTTCTTTTAATAGCGCTTATAATAACACTTCTCTTCTTATAAACCTTTATAGTCCTTATACTACTTAATAACTCCTAATAATTAATATTCTTAAGGATTCTATTAAGTTTAAAGATTTTCTTAATTAAAGTATAATTACTTTTTTTAGCACTTTTTAAATATAATAAATACGTTTTAAGTGTTTAATAAAGCTATTAATTAATTATTTATATAATTCTATTATTAGTCTAGTATTTTTATTTTTCTCTTATTTTCTTATTTATAATTCTAATTAACACGTATATTATTAATCTTTTACTTTACTACTTACTATTTAAACTTAACCTATTTTCTCTTTACTTTAACGTTATTTTCTTCTTTATAGTATTTATAGTCTTTATTCTTATCTTAGTGTTTTTTTCTCCTTTTCTTAACGCTTAAAATTAGCTATAATAAACTATATAAAGTAGCTAATATTATTTAAATAAGCGCCTCACGTATATCTTACTACTACTAGAAGATATACTTTTATTTGGTTTTATATATCTTAAATTAATTATTAAATAAATGAATAGTTAATTAAGATTATAAACTAATATTAAGACTTTTATATATTATTATTTACAAGAATATCTATTAAGTTATACCTATTAGTTATAATAGAATAACCCCTTTACTTTCTTCTACTATTTAGCACCGTTTAACACTATTTAATACTATTAAACACTACCCTAGCATTACCCTAGCATAACTATAACACATGTTAATACTATGTTAACACGGTGTTATATAATTACACTATATGAACACCATGTTAGTTACTTAGAAGTGCCAGGCACCCCTGTTATAGTGCCAACACGGTGCCAGCACCGCTACATTTTATTATGGAGCCCCACTACTAGTTGGTCCGTGCACATCGAGCACTGTCGTTATATTTAGGTCACATACATCTGTACCCGAAGATGAGGTTTTTAAACATGTCGAATATGATAAAATATGTATTATATGCTGTGTATTACCTCCTCAAGTTGTTACCATTATTAGCCCGTCCCTATATCACGGTGTTCAGTTGACACTACATCAGCTGTGGAGTGCCAGCTCTAGAAGGCTTAGGGCTACGCTCTTTTATCAACTCGCCTTAGCCGTAAAATAGGAATAACCCGAGTCATCAAAAACCTGCAGTAACACAATATACTTTAAGACAGTAGTATTGTATACCATTCGTAGAGTAGACTGCGGCATAATCCCATATCGTATGCCGCACGGACGCGATATCATGCAATATCCTGCGTATACTTCGGATAGTGGGAAAGGGTCTGGTATCTTTATGCAGGGCGTACTTGAATCTCCAAATACCCATGACCCCAATCAGACACGAGAGTCTTAGGCACGACTAGTACGTAGAGGTGTGTACGAATACGCTAATATGTCCTTGTGATCTTTGGTAGGGCTGTAAGATATGCCTGAGGTGGACGCACGCGGCAGGCCCAGAATGGAGTGGAAATTCGAGCGCTTCTTCGCAAGGGTGCTGCAGAGTTGCAACGCTAGCGCGGCATATTCCGATAGTAACAGCATTTGGTCCAATGGAAGAGCTGTCATGTTACGGTAATATTGACGTCAATGCGTTTCTCTAACGCCGTAATTCCATGATTCCATCAGGGAAAAATGCGTTTGAACATGGTACTATAGCACAGTTATGTAATCCTGCCTACCAAACTGGTGTTTATCTGCGAGCCAGTGGTAATCAGCCTCCAACACGTTATGCCATGGAAAAAGAGCAACCGATAGTAGAACCATATTTCATAGACTCAAAGACCCTATTACCACCCTACTACGATACTCTTCTACATTACTCAGCGGAATTATGGAATCATGCTGTTGAAAACATCTCAACTAACAGTGCAACAATGTAAAGTGGTGCAGCCACTCGACTTCCCATGCTTTTTTTCAACCACCCCAAATCAGGCTCGGTACATGACCAGAAGCTTAGCCATCTTGACAGTGGACACTTCATTTTCTTGTCGCCCCGTCACAGTGCTTGAAGTGCCAAGCCTCCTTCAAGTCTTGTAATGGCAGCTTCTTCCCACGATATACGATCCGGCTTAATAGATTACGTCCTCAGTCCAGCCCCCCGCGTCCACAACGTCAGCTTAAGCCATGACTTTAGACACGGAAACCGGGCAACCATGCATCCCATTCCATAATCAATGTAGCCCCCATAAGCTGCTTGACTCGAGCAAGAATCTCACGTAACTCGGACCTTCCCCAGATGGTTCTTTGACCAATATTGGCCGCGATTTGTGGCAATGCTGGCGAATCAGAATACAAGGCAAAAAGCAGAAGGGCCCGCGCCGGATTAAACTAGGGCGATGGCTGCATTGTTTTGCTGTAGCGAGGAGAGCGCATATGATCAACCAGCCAGCATATCAGCCCCAAATGTCTACGTTGTGCATCGCAAACCGCCCGGTGGAGGCGGTGTCTCGGGCAAATAGACTTTGAGGAAAACGCCTCTTGTTCTCCGCAATATGGCACGCTTCTCCGTGCTGTGACAGAAATAGTGACTTTTCCGCTCAGCCCGCCGCCACTTTTATACGAGTGCCGCTCGTATAACGCCCACGGCTTCTTCGACACCGAGTCACACGCCCACCATCTTGACACCAATACGCCAGAAAGGCCCGAGTCAATCACTAATGGCAGTTGCCTGCGGGCAAATTTCAGTGCTCTTTTGGGCACTAAACAGGTTTGGATCATACCGAGACATCAGCGCCTTTGGGTGGCAAAGTCAACTACTGCTGTCGGGCACCGGTTCCATTGGAATGTTTGAAGATGGCTTCGCGGCGGAGCTGTATTCTTACGCCAACATCTGACAGTTCCATATGCCAACGCAGCGAGTGCCTGACGCCACACTTCTAAATACGAGTCTAACACGCCAACCACCTCGGGACAAGACTCGACCGAGGTACTTCTCAAGAGACGTATCTATATAATCTATCTATGAATCATGGTGTACAAAAACTATATAAACTACAGTTCCTTCGGGGTTTTTACCTTCTGCTCTCATCCTCATCAGTAATCTCGTCTACAATACCTTTGCAGAAGTACCATCAACTTTCATCATTCTTCCAAGTTTACTTCGTCTCAAACGATTTCCAAGTCATCATTATGAAGTTTGTCATTGCCTCCGTTGCCGCTCTGGCTTCCGTCGCCATCGCTGCACCAAACCCTACGCAGTGCCAGCCTGCCACTTATCGATGCGAGCCTAACAAGGACGCTTGGGATGTTTGCAATACCAGCGGCCAATGGGTGGTAAGTATCTTGTTCGTTTCTGACTTGACCAGGTTGGTAATATTAATCGCCCTAGTTTGCTGGAAACTGCCCACCAAACACTGTCTGCAAGTTCCTCACCACCAACGGCAGCCCCTACTGCGTGCCCCCCGACTTCACTATTCCTTAAGTATAGCTCATTGAGCGAGAGGAGCGGTTCAATTTGCACGCGACTGCCATCTGTCAATATTAGTTGCATATTCAAGGATATATTTGGCAGTTTGTCTTCAGCTAGATTCGGCCAGCTTTAGTAGCTATAGACATCATAAATTGATACTACCGCGGTTGTAAACTACACACTATGAAATCATTGCCAAATAGTACTTTTTTCGCGTATCTGATCAAAATTAGACACAATTTGTGATAAGTAGTGACGACGCATAAAGCAATTGCCTGCTTAATATCTACCCCGAAATACAAGGTCCGATAAGCTGGCAATAAGCATCGTCTAAGTATAGGTAAACATGTCACGATAATAACCTACACTTTCTAGCAATAATAGCTCATAGAAATGCTGAGCACGAATACGGAAGACTTACGCGACTTACAATGCAGAACAAGGATCGAGTAAATTATGACCCTTTCTTTGCAGTCCTATTACATGTTAAGTCGCTACTTCTCTAGTCCCTAAAAGAGAACATGTCCTAATACTACTCTTAACTATACCTGATCTCGTTTTAAATGATTTCTAGTTATAAAGAAAATTATTGTGGTTAGTTACGGTTCCCTGGCCTAGGTACGGCCAAAATACAGTGTTACTACTGACTTACTAGATACCCTCCATCTAGCCCTTTTTTTTTGATTTTTTTTAAATAAGTTAACTAATAACTTATTTTCCATTTATTACATGTGCGCTTATAAAGACTCATACTCCAAGATTTTATACTAATGCGGTTAGCGTTGTCTCGGTTTAACTTCCTGATAATACGCAGGCCTCCAAAAAGCATTAAGAAGGCCTGTAATCCAAGTATTACACTAAGATTAACTAAGGCTTATAACACTCGCAGCTATCTTTAATATGCCATTATCATTATCATTCGACTTTCAAGAGGTGTTGCTACCATAACTGATTGAATTAGAAGCACATTGGTCAGCGGCATTGCCACACACCCAGCACCAGTGCTGGATGCCAGCGATAGCAAACTTTCTCATCTCCATTTTAAAGTCGCTCCAAGAAATAGTTTCTTGACTCTGGCCAAGTAGTGAAAAGGACTTTAAACTACTATTATTAGCTGTCCTATTACTATAGGGAATCGCACGCTATATCGTCGACTTAAGGTTTTAAAATTAGTACTTGGGTTGTAGAGCTCGAAGGCTACAGACGAGTTGTAGCAATTAGTACCTTAGAAGCTATTCAAAAATTTTCGTAGCTGCGCAAGGCCGAAGAAAGCCATCAAGCTGCCGTAGGCCCCGAATTGAATGCCAAATTTGGGACTACCGGGCTTGGCATCAACGACATCTTTTAAGGAATCCAGAATCTGCCCGGCAAGCACAAATTCCTCAAGAACTCGAACAGAATCAGTTGCCTTATAGGTCAAGTTCCACTCATAGGTTGAAGGAAGGTCATACATGTGACTGAGAGACACTTTTCTCAGGAGGCTATGAGAAGCAATAGATGAGTTGTGGATGCGGGCGACACGACTCATGTCAAAAACTATATGTGAGTCAATATATAAAAATTAGGACCTACGGTCAGAAAAAAGATATTTTCTGATATCCGTACTTGAAATTAACAGAGCTAGGATCGTAAGTCCCGTTGATGACAGGCAACAAGTTGTCACGATTTAATTAGACCAGGTGAAAGGAAAAACCCACGCTTCCACAAGTGCCTATTATAATTAAAGCTTATATACCTCTTAACTGCAGATACCCTGAATTTACCCGTTGACATAAGGTCTGATAAAAAGATTTCCTATCCTTAAAGGCTGTTAATACTCTGGAGAAATAAAGTAGCTGCTTTAGGCTGACTAAGACTGGTTTATAACCATTATTACCTTATTACCATGAGATATTCTCAGCATTGTTGCTCATAACACTACTAGCCACTGCTCCGATCGGGACGTACCGCCAGCCACCCAGCGCCGGCCCGATCTTTGAGCCATCCACCAAGGCCTTCCTACACGTGGTAGGCGGGTAGAGGCCTTGAAGAAGGGAAACAGCTGAGTGGCGCAGCAATGCATCATCAGGCGAACTAACTGAGAGCTCAGATAAGACTGCAACACCCGAGCTCATGCGGCGTGTGACAAGGGCTTAAGGAGGGCTTGGAGCTAATAGCTCAATTCATCTAATAACAGTCTTTGGTATCAAAGGTCCTTGGTTTTCCAAGTCCTTGAGGGACCAAAGGTCGCTATAAATACAAGAAGTCTGTGAGCCCTAGGTCTCGTGACCGTAGCCCTTGTGTAACCAGCCATTTCCGTGTAACACGGCGTTATGCCAGCAATACGCAAGTGCGAGCTGGATAAGATATCCAACTCCGTGACGTAAACTAGGGTCCGGGGCTTGCAATTCCATCTCCAAACCCAGGGAAGATGTAAATATCCAGGATGCGCTTATTGGCTGCAGCTTCTGACCAATGCTCAACATTAAGAAAGCGGCGGTGGGGTAAAGCATCAAGTGCATCTTTTCTTGTGGTCGAACGGGCGACTAGTTTGATGATGTTGCTGTTAGTCGTGGTACTAATGGACATTCGACTTATTCTAAAGCATAAACCCGGACGCTGCTAATGAACAAGCTTACATCCAATATTCTTCTAGTTCATCCTGTTCGCCTGACTGAATTCGGTGAGCAGAGTTCCGCTTCCAAGCCACTAGAGTGTGCTTCCACATCAGCTCTGCATTTATTTCAATATTTTGAACGCCAGTCTCCGTACGCAGTTGACAATGGTCATTCGCAGGGTCAATGGACGGGATCATACAGAATAATAGTCCGCAGGGCGTCACCTATTCGTCGAGCCCAGCCTAGGTACGTCGTACGGAGTACGTAGCTGGAACGGGCTCAATGCCGACCTGCCCGATGGCGACGGGATTTTGTTGTTCACCAAGGCTTGGCGGTGAGCCGTGTGAGAAATGACAATCACCCTATTCGTCCACGGCATCAAACAGAAACGGAGCGGTGGCATCCTTATCCATGTTTCCCCCACTGTCAAAGCTACCCATCTGTGCATCAGGCTTCGATAGACCGGTGTCACCATGTTGGGCGGTGGAGACTTGCAACATTGAAGCCGCTTTCCGAATATGACGGCAGTATGCCGCCAATGAGAAGGTTAGTTTTGCGAATCTGTCTCATCAGAGGGCCGTGGAATATCGATATAATAAAGCGGGACGATTGCGACGCAGGCATTTCGTAGTAGTAACTCCAAAAGCGGCAACCGGGCGGCATGAAGCCTTGTGGAAAGTTGGCATTTCGCCGTAGCTTCTTGATATACCATCCAATTGATATCAACAAGCTTTGATAATGCACAACCTCCGCCGCTTGGCCACCTTCCGTCATGGGTCAGACTTATAAGCCATTTCCAACAAAGTCGATGCATGGATTGGACGCGTTGATGATGAGCAATTGACCAATTTGAACTTCAATATGTCATGCTTCTCTACCGAATAGCTCTAGGATTATCTACGTGGCCCCGCATCAAGACTAGACGGCTGATATTTTAATTATCGTCTCAATGTTGCATCCTAACAGCATAATCACTGTTTCGGCACCGCCTTGAGTCCATTTCACCCCATACTTATATCACGTTAACAGCTATGGAAGCAGATTAAAGAGTGGAATTATTCTTGGGATTAAAGCTATCTAGGTATAGAAAACAAGCCCTTATTTATAGATATTAAGGTCGTCTAACAGGTCACCTAAAAAGTTATTAATTTAAGGGGTTTTACGGTATTTAGCTATTAAAGGTCTAGCTTTAATAAGGTAGTAGTATAAGCCTTCTTTTAAGGCTTTTTATATAATTAAAAAGCAGTTATTTAAGGCATTTTAAGGCTTATTAAAGTCCCTAATAAATAATAGCCTTTTTCTATTAAAAGAGGCCTTTATTATTAATACACCCCTATAAATTAAATTAATAGCTAGCTATTAAAGCTATTAATAGCTATTAAAGTAAGTTAAATAGTAAGCTAGATTAGTTAATTTAAGCTCTTTTAATAATACTAATAATATTAATAAGCTTTAATTACTTAATAAAGCGATTAAACTATTAGCTTATTAAAATCTTTATTAATTTATTAGCTAAATTATTAGCGCTTTAAATGAATTTAATATTAAAGGTCTCTTATAAATAGGTTTATTAAATGTAGCTATTATAAATATTAATATAATAAAGAGTAATCTTAAGCCTTAAAAGACTACTATTAATAAGCTGAATTCTTTATAAATT